AGGGGGGAAGATCCCAGTGCTGGTCTTCAGTTCTTGTTACCATTGCTAACTCTGAGAGACGAGACAGTCCAAGTAACTTTAAAACAGTGCTGATTTATTCAAAGGAACACAGGTAAAATTAACATTACATGCTCAGGTATCTTGCACCTCCAACCTGCATGCAGGCAGATGTAAGATGAAAGACCCTGAACCCAACAGGCCTATACATTATATCTCTTCGGTTGGGCTAGCCCCATACTACACAGAAACGTCAACCGAGACATCTGTTGCCAGCTTTGCAGCTGGCCATAGCAGTAGTCAAAACATGAAGCAAATCAATGTGCGTGTGTGTCTGTTGATTAAGTGGTGTGTAGCTAAAAACATTCTCACACGACCTCTAGTAACATGTCGTGACTTAAACATAAGAACATATTATGGCTAAGGCTACAGTTATACACGTCATAATAATAATATTAAACACCCTGTCTGCTGACAGTCATCAACTTTTCTCTCTAGTTATCCTTGACCAGATGTTCCCTGTAGAAATTCATAAGCATGACTAAGCATCTAACTAAACATCCTATCTCCACTAAACATTTCTAATACATAAAGTATCTATCCAATATCTATCTGACTAAAAATACCTAACACCAGAATAATAATAATAATAAATAAAGAACAGGAGAGCATAGTGTGGATGCTTGACAGCATCCACACAATTATCGCATGAACAGGAAACAGTAGGAATCACTCCAATCAGTCCCTGTATTTAAAACCCTGGCCAACATTTCCCAGGGCCATATTGTCTAGTACCTCATACCATTAGTGTCATTAGAACCCCTTTTACTATCACATATGCCTCAGTATTGATCTGCTGCACCAATCAAATTCCCACATTCGATTTTTTACCAAAGCCAATATTTGGCAGTGATTTAATTTAGGGTTAGGGTTATATTAATGAGATTTGTTCTAATCCAGATTGACAAAATAATCAGATTGTCAAATCTGGATTGTATAATCATGATTATCATCACAATGCTTTACAAACTGCATTGAATTACATTATCTACATTATACACATGAATTTACCTGATGTACCTAAACCAGATTAAGTTGCCATTGGATAGCCCATGGCATGCGTTTCCTTATTTTTTGACTTATCTATAATGTTACAACAGTGAATTATCTTAGACGTGATCTAAAGCTCAAAAAATTAGGCGTATGTATGCTCTAGTATTTCTATGCAGAAGCAACTCGGTTTATACACATCTCGCAAACTCTCACTTGTGAGACTTTTTTTCCTAACAAAATAAAGTATTACGTATTAGTTTGTAAGATTTGAGTCTTATAGACTCTAGTTACTTTATAAGCTTTAGTTAATTCTCATACCTTTAGTTCCCTTTATTTACTTTTCATACCTTTAGTTACCTTTCATAACTTTATCTTATGCATATTACAGCTGTATTGATGATTGTCCAGAACTATTGAGTTATTTTTAATACATTTCTTTCCCTTGCTTATATATCTTACAACAATAGTGATGTGTAAGGTCTAGACCTTACTTTGTAAAGTGTCCTGACATGACATTTGTTGTGAGTTGGTGCTATACAAATAAAATTGATTTGATTTAATTTGACAAATCACCACCTGAGCAAGACCCACACTCACACA